CCAGTTCCCACAAACCACAGTTAAATGAAAGAAATGTCTAGAGCTTTGCAATGGTATCTCAATTGTTGCTCTAAATAACAATTCTGTTCCTTGTCAGAAACTTGAGATAAGAGAGTTCTGTTTGTTCATTTGCTTATTAGGACACTTACGTTAGAAAAAGAAGTGTAATGATAAAATAGAGAGCATGAACTGTGCCCATGTTTATACTGAAACTTTGTGCTCTTGGTTCAGATTTCACATGCATTGGTTCTGTCAGCAATAGCGTAACCATGACTTGGGTCCTCTAAGAAAGGAAAGAGCAGAGATGCTTAAGCGTGACTCCATCTGCCCCTGCTAGGATCTGCAAAAGTGTAATCACTTCATGGTCACTGGGATCAAAGGCAGCCGACAGCTCTCAGGGCCTGTGGAAATCAGAGGCATTTGCTCTTCAGGAAGGCTACATCCCTTTGGGATTTGCTCTGATGACACTAAGGTCTCGGTCTCCCCATATCATTAAGCAACCTTCAGAAAAACACTTTTTTTTTTTAAACAGAAACATAGCAAGGTTGTCCTCGATGTGTTACATAGAACTAAGGAAAATTTCCAATGTTAAAATGAAGTAAGAAAGTGCATGCCAAGCTCCCAATGAGTGCACTGTACCACAACACTGCTGTTTATTTCTTGGGAAGGCACAGGGAGGTGATTAGGAAGACTGAAGTTGTACATGATCCGTTTGTATATTTGTGTAGGGTTGGTTTTTTAAAGGAAAAGAAGGTGCACAAGCCTGGTCTAAACTAAGGGTAGATTTGTACAAGCTATCCTGAGTGAGGGACAGTACATACTTGTATTGTCTTAGGAGCAGCCGAGAGTGCAGATTGAGAGTCACACATCCTTGGGAGCTCTGTGTTCATCAGATGGGGTGCTAACTCAGTGAAGGCAAGGAGACAAGGCTCTGTCTACCTGTCCATTAAAAGCTCTATGTAAGCAGCTTCCCTTCAAACAGAACAGAGGGCACCTTTCATCTCATTGGGGGAAGATGACGTAGCCCTGAAGCCCTGAAAATTTTAATGAAATGTCTCCCCCTTGTTCTAGCATCAGCACATCCCAACAGGTGCTAGCACTGATGTGAGCACTAGTGTAGATGGGTTTTTAGCCCTGGTGTGAGGTAACTGTGCTCTGAGCAGGATTCCACAGTGCTGTGGTACAAGCACTGCCTGCACTAGCACCCTCACCATTACTAATGTCACTGGGACTGCCTGGTGCTCAAGCAACAATGGGACATTTCCCTGAAATCCAGAGCACAGACCCTTCCATACAACCTAATTTTCAGTGAATCTGTGGGCTTGTTCTTGCATGCATGCAAGTGCTTCTCTGCATGACTCCTCTTCTGTCAGAGACTTGTGTAATGCACTTGGCTAGATCAGAAGTCTGTCTGATTTGTACAAATTAAAGATTTGTATGATGAGATTCAGTAGTGCATGCACAAAAGATCACCTACAGACTTGCAGAAAATTAGACCAACAGCATCACTGTCACATCTATATTCTTGACTACTGTTAGTTGCACCCTGTTGTTCAGTGACTTGGAGAAGGTTTGCTTCATGTCTTTTACCAACTGAAAGATAATCTGCTTCACTACAGGGATTTTTTGCTTGCATCCCCTTTCCTCCCCAAGTACATCCTCCTGTAAAAGCCAGTGCTCATGTTTCACTGACAAGGAGATTAAAACCAAAATGGATCTTCTTCTTTCTGTTGGGAATAGCCCTTTGAGAAGCTTGTTCCAACATGAACTACAGGGTTTTTGCACAGGCAAACATTTTTCTATCTGGCATGCAGAACTTATTCAAGAGGTGTGGCTTCTGCTGGGTAATATCGGCATCAGTGAGTCATACCTAGTTAGTACCGATGCGGTGCCCTACCCCAAGGAGTGTCTGTTTTTTTCTCCTCCCTGTCTCTCTTCTCAGACATTAATTGTTTTTAGTTAAGGTGCTTTGATAAATCCCTGGAACTCATCAGTGTTGTTACAGTTAGATATTCACCCTGGCCATTGGAACAGCAGGGGCTTCACAACTGTGACAGTTATTCCTAGATCATAGGCCATCGCTGTGTTTGAAAGCTGTTTGTTTCAAGTTCATAGACATGCCGCACAAGAGTGATAATTCATTCTCAAATGCCAGCTTCAAGTCAGCATGGTTTTTTACAGCATTAGCTCTGCTTTAATTAGGGTTGGGGTGTGTCTTTTCACATTGATAAACATCACAACACTTAGGAACAAAGTTTGAAACAGTCATCCTGCCACGCCTTGCATGCAGGGTCTTCTCTGTAGGACATTCAGTACATTTCAGTGCATGAGTTTCCTGAAGCACCATCACACCAAGAACAATTAGATGCTCTCCCCACGCGCACACACACATAACCTATTGAAAGCAATTTCAAAATGAGGAGGGGTGGATTCTGAACAGAGGTGTTCCCAAGCCATTTGGGAAGGCAAGAGGGAGAACTGGATGTGGCAACACTTTATTTATTCTAAGTATGACAGGAGGGAACACCCTTAACAAAATTATTGATACCATTTGTAGATTATTTGATAAGTAAAATAATTGTACCTTGTAAGGCAGGGGAGGGCAATAATTTTCACAGGGGGCCACTTCATGTATTTTGCTATGTGGTTATGTGTCAGCTCCACCCCCCCAAAAGGGGCAGAGCCTGGGATGGAAGGGGTGTGGCGGAGGACTAGCCTCCCCCTGGAGTTGTCTGGGGCCAGAGGCTTTGAATTAAAAACACAGAAATGGGCTTGTCGCTACCAGCCCTGTCGCTACATCATTGCCTGGCAGCCAGCTGGTATTGCTGTGACTATTTAAATGGCTCGCAGCTCTGGCCCTTTCCAGGGGAGTGCCACACTGTGATCCATGAGCCTTTTCAATAGGATCCTGCTACCTGAGCTACTGCCTGGAATTTCAGTGCACGGGCAGCAGGATATAAATAAAAAGCAACCAGATGCAATCTGGGGGTCAGCTCAAAGTGTTAGGCGGGCCAGATCTGGCCCCCCCCAGTCCTGTTGTAAGGACTTGTCTACACAGGAGGGGAGCATATTTCACACTAACTTTAGTTCCATTAAAATGACTTGCAGCCACACAATGCAGTTCTCATTAATGCATTACTGGCAAGGTAGTAACTTTTAAAAGTGGACTATAAATGTTGCATTAATTGCAAATTAACGTGCTTATAGAGACATGTCTCCTTCACACTAGCCTGGCACAACACTGGGACTGGTGAGTCTGTTTACCTGTTTGTTCTACTTTGGTGGTCAGCTGGACCAGATGCCATCTCCCCATTCAAATGTTAACCTAAGACCAGCTTCATACCTTTGCTGTTGCACACTACTGGAACTGCAGATCTCAGAATAATTCCACTGTTATTTTAGTGGTGTTATACAATGTCTCATGGTAATGCCTGCTGCCTTGCAGAGGTCTTGGATCCCCATAACTTCCACAGAGGGGCAAAGTGCAGGCAGCCCTTACCAAAACAAAAAAAAGCAAAAACCCTACTCCAATAAAGAGATTCATGAAGTCTCATTACTACTGGGGGCCTGTTCACCAAAAGCAAGGGGCTCAAGAGAGCTTGTGAGAAAGACAATGACAGTGCTCCTGCTACCAGTACCTACTAGGAGAAGCCAGACTGAAATCCTGGCTCAATTGAAGTCCCTGGCAAAACTCCTGTGGAGTTCAGTGGGACCTAAATTTGACCTCAGGATATTTGTTTAGGAGACTAACATTTAACGAGGACCAATATAGGATAGAGTCAGCATAAAAGTTCAAGATAATTGTGATGTTTGGGGATCACCCGGACCAGTAAGGGGTGCTGTCATCACCTGCCTTGTAACCATGCTATGCTGTTATGGCTCAGAGCTCTGACACCAGTTGCCAGCCTTAAAGCATAAAGGCCTTACCCAGGCTTCCACCAGCCTACTTACTCTTTTCAGTGAGATCCCAAGAGTCTGTCTGGTCCCATGCTTCCCCAATTTCTGAACTATCAGATACTTGGTGTCTTCTCCTCTGGTTCATCACCCCAAAAGGGATGAAATCGGCCCCTTGGTATCAGCTCAGTTTTGCATACACACTCTCCACAGTCTGCACAACAGAGACCTGCCCGGGGTAAAACAAACAAAAGGTGCGGTAGGAGAAAAAAAATCAAAGATAAAATATTAAGGAAAAAGGAAACTGATACAAGTTACGCAGAAAGAACCATAAAGACAGAACTTCAGGCTTTAAACGTCTATGTTAGTGAAAATGCCCTTCTCTAATACAAGTTACCATCTGCCACTGAACAGAGTATGGCCTCTGACCTAGGGTCAGAGCCGGCCCATCCATAGAATCATTTAGAGCGGCCACCACGGGCCCCTCAACTGGACAGGAACATTCCCCTATATAGATGTTAGTCAGCAGGGCCCCTGAGGGATCACCCCTCCCCCTCAAACATGCACACTCACTGTAGCTGTGGGAAGTGAAGCAACACAGCATCCCGCTCTGCCCCACCATCTTCCAGCCAGGTTGCTCCTCTTCACTGTGGCAGGAAGCTGAGTACCCCAACCCCAGCCTGCTCCACTCTCCTAAATGACATGGGCTCAAGGGAGTGGAGCGCAGTGGGCTGGGAGATGGCGGCAGAGTGGAGCAGGTTGTGAGTCGCTCTGCTTTCCACAGCTTCTGCCGCCACAGTGAGTGCAGTGGCCCAACACCTGCTGCTGCCGTCCCACGCCAGGCCCCAGGGTAATCCCTTGGGTCGCATAGCTTGGGGGAGGGGATTTTGAGGAAGGGGTGCAGTGGGGGCAGAAGGAGGTGGGGTCTGGGTTGGAGGGATGCCCAAGACCTATACCACTCTAGGGATGGCTCTGCCTAGAGGCTATGTATGTTTCATAGACTGCACCCTGCTTAGATGCTAACCCTCACTCAGTTTCTGAACAGCCATCAACTTCAAGCCTTCTTCCTTTTAACAAAGTTTGCAGCTTTTTCTCCTTTCTTTCAGGCTGGGTAATCCATGTTTTCATGTGAACAGCTATAGAAAGTTCTCCCCCCCCCGCCTCCACTTGCTTGACTGCTTCCTCCACTGCATCATGGAAGTCCATGAAGAATAGAAAGGAGGCTAATAACAAGCAATCTTCGGAAGGGCCAAGGAGCCCGAGGAAGAAATGAAAGAAGAAAATGTAGGCACAGAGGAGTCACGTAGGGTGCTGGAGGCGAGGACAGAATATTTGGAAGAGCTCAATGTGGAAGGCAAGGGAAATCCAGTGAAGGGATTCATAAGCTGAAGTGAATGAATATGATCAAAGAGCAGAAAAGGAAGATGATTTGAGTAGAAGCAATCTGGATAAACCGGAGCAAGGCTGAGATTAGATATGAGGAGGCTGAGAAGAAAAGAATTATTTCCCCCTGCAGCTGTAAATCCAGGTAGTTTCCATTTATTTTCACTAGTAGTGTTGCAGTAATGTCTAGGAGCCCCAGTCATGGGCCAAAACTCCATGGTGCTAGGCACTGAACACATAGGCTATGTCTACACTCGCGGCTTCTTGCGTGAGTAAGATGCACAATGCCCTTCTTCCTGAAAAGAAATAGGTGTAACGGCATTGTGCAAGAGGGTTTTTCTTGTGCAAGAAGGGGCAGTATAGATGCTCCTTCTTGCGCAAGAGCCTCTTCTAAAAAAAAATGGTGGCTCATTAGGTATGCAAATGAGGCTCGGCGATATTCCATGCTTAGCCTCATTTGCATATTACTCGCGCAAGAAGCCGCAAGTGTAGACATAGCCCTAAAGTTTAAAATGGGTTTCTGTTTTATAAAAGATCAGAGGAGAAAGATATACAAAAGATCAGAAAGATCAAAAAGATCAGAGGAGAAAGTAACCCAGATAGTTACTCTCTTGTTTCTGAATAGAAAGGACCAGACACTGTCTCTGAGAGATTAGTGCAACACCCATCACTTTACATGAAAGTAACACTTACTGAGAGAGCATCTTGAACCTGTATTAATTAGGGTTAGAATTTAAACTCAAGAGTAGGTAGGATGCAGTGTGAGGCTGAGCCATGAGTTATCACTCTGAGAAGGCAATCTGCAATAGAATTCATACGTCAGTAGCTACATAATTTACATTTCTGCCTTTCAAATATGAGTATTTATTTGGTAAAGTTGTTCCATCAGGCCCATTATTATTTGTATTACAGTAGCACAGTTAAGCAGGTTACCTACTTCATGAGCACCTCTTCATGGGCAAGCATGGCTGTACAACACCTGTTTCTAGTCCCCTTTTTCCAGGCTACTCAAACTCCACCTACTCCATATCATTTTAAAAAACATTCCTCTTCTGTGGGGGGGCTCCAACTGTTTAGTCTCTACAGGCATTACTGCCTCACACCCACTGAGCAGACCAGTGGTTCTACAACTCACAATCATTCTCTCTCCTTGAGTCCGGAGTCCTCTCCTTCACTCTCACTTTCTAAGAACCAGAAGATAATCCCTCTCACTCCTAGCCCTCCTCCCCAGAGCTGGGTTATAATGCAAACTCAAATTGCCATCACTTAGATCTACTTACCATGGAGTCCACACCACACTGGGCCAACTCCCCTTACTCTTCTCATTCTGGTGGAATATTGGAGTCAACAAGAGAGCAATCAGATGTTGATTTATCATGTCCATGCTAGAGCACTGAGTTGATCCCTGCTGGATTGATTACTACCTTGTCGATCCAGCCCATATGGAAGACAAGCCCTAGGTGGCCCCCTTTGTTAATGGACTGTGTTGCACTTCTAAGAGGGTCAAGTCTCAAACTCTAATAATTATAAACCACAAGTTAAAAATGAGTTTTGGGGCCTCAGTTTCTTGGAGACATTAGTTAGGTTACGTCTATACTGCAGCACTATTTTGGGATAAAACAGGTATCCCGAAATAGCTATTTCGTGTCTTTTGAGTGCACCCATTATTTCCAAATATAACAGGCTCACTATTCCAACGTCTCTGTAAACCTCATTCCACAAGGACTAAGGGATGTTTCAGAATAGCGATTTATTTCAAAATAAGTGCTGTGTAGATAACGCCAAATTTCAAATTTCAAAACTGACTCGAAATAAGCTATGCAATTTGCATAGCTCAAATTGCATAGATTATTGTGAGCTTCAGGTGCAGTGTAAATGCACCTTTAGAGTCACCAATCATAACACAATTTAGCACAATAGGCAGCCTCTGCTATTGTTAAACCCTGTGACTGATATTACCTGTTGAATCAGAATATGGCTAAAGTGGTTACAGTGCTTGTGATGGAGGTAGTCTTTGCCACAATTAACATTCAGTACCTGGACAGTGAGAAAAACAGAAGCTATCCAAGAGGAACTGGGAAACTAAGGGCTAGATCCTCACAAAGAGATTTCATTGCACAGTTACAGGTGTGATTAAATAACTGTGTCAGGAGCAAAAGTCATATCCATGGTCTCATTTTGGATTAAATCAATAGCCTAACCTACACATCTCCCAGCCTAGGTAGATACAGTCCAGGACTGTTCAGCAATTCTGGGTAACTAGCACCAAGAATTTGCATCAGAAAACACTAAATAAAATCACAATGTAACATGAAAAAAACTATTAATTATTACTCAGTTTTAAAGGAAAAATCATAGCAATGGAGCAAAACTTATCACACTTCCTAAATCAAGTAAAACTATGTTGACATCTAGCAACATCAGGAATTACACAAGGAACTAACTTAAGATTACATTCATATAAATTAATGCATTTAAGCAGAAAATTCATTAATGTGTGTTGCTGCGGTCTCTTAACGTGCACCCATGGTGCTAGCTTTTAAATATAATTCTCAAAAATGTATTACTTGCAAACCATGTCCTTTCATCTCGCTGCAGGTAATGAACACAGGACCTGCAGGAAATGTGAGCAAGGGGGTTTCAGGTGTCTGACATGGGCTGCTTTATACTGAGGGCAATATAATGGTTGTCTCTGCATGACCATGTGCAAGGAGATTTCTTCCCCTCCCCTCCCAATGTTGTTTGCATGTACGTTGCAGCTGGCCAGGATTAGAAGGGGAAAGGAAGAAGGCTGCTTGCATAAAACTAGATCCTCCAGAAGTGCTTGCCAAGGAGGAGGGATGAGATGCAAGTGTGGCCAGGGAGGTAGCCAGAAATCCTGCTGGTGTTTCTACTGCAGTACGGAGCCTCTGCATTCCCAGTTGCAGAGCAAAGCATTAAAGACACAGTCCAGTCCATATTGTTTGGCAGTTGTGCAATGGTAGGCAGAAACTGTCACTGTTCAGCTTCTAAATGAGGTGTGGACACTTCATTGACTGAGCACAGTAATTCTCAGGTGTATCTGGGAGGGGAGGATTTGTTCACTTCGGAGCTCTGGTGTGAGGATTGCACAGATAAACATTTTTCTGAATTAAAGTTGGATTACGTCTTTCTCAAGCAGCCAAGTGCCAGCCCAATTTCCTGGTGCCTCGAAAGGTTTATCCTCCAGGTATTGTCGGGAGTCAGCTGGACAGTTAGACTTCATCCAGACAGTCTGAAATTTCATCATCTGTTGTGTCTCCGATGAAGGGAGAAGACTAGTGAACTGAGTGACTCCAAACAATTGGCGAACACTTATACTAAAGGCCAGTTGGTTCAGGAACTGATGACAGCTGAAGATTGTGTGGACAAGAGCAGCTAAACAGTACGGACCAGATTGTGACCATCTCCTACACAGATGCACAAGGGAGAAAATTCCCTTCTTTCACAGGGAATGGCCACAACTGCAATACATGCCCAACCTCCTGAAGTGACGTTAGCCAACCAAAAGGAGGTGACAGGGCTGTTCCGAGCCATTCGTGCACCCTGGGAGAGTGGCGCATGTGTAGCCTTGCCCCCAGGTGCGGGGCGCCTGCGTGGCTCCACCCTCGGGCGCCTGGCGCATGTGTGGCCCCTTCCCGGGCACGCGGCGCATGTGTGGCCCCGCCTCTGGGTGCCCGGTGCATGCGTGGCACCGCCCCAGGTGCATGGAATATACCTGGTGCCACCCCCGTCTGGCCCGGTAGCCCCGCACAGTGCCCCCTACAATGGGGCGCCCCGGGCGGTAGCCCAGTCAGCCCGTAGCTTGGGCCAGCTCTGGGAGGGGAGGGTTAGGCCCTAGGCTCCCTGCACACAGCACGCAGCAGAGCTGGTTGGTCAGACAAGAGAGCACATACTGTGTCCCCCACCTCCACACGATGGGTACATAAGCAGGCAGATTTTTCCTTTATGGCTGGGAATTCCAGGAGGTACTGCACCTCTGAGTCATATGCCTCCCGAAGCTCTGCCTGGGGTGAGGCACATGTGCACGACCCTCTGTACAGAACTCTGGCTTGTAGTTATCAGAGGGTATGTCTACACTACCCTCCTAGTTCGAACTAGCGGGGTAATGTAGGCATACCGCACTTGCAAATGAAGCCTGGGATTTGAATGCAGCGCAGCTACTCGGGGCACGAACTAGGTAGTTCAGACTAGGAAGTGGAATGAGGTGTACCGGTAGTTCGGAATAGGAAGCCTAGTCCGAACTACCTAGTTCGAGCCCTGTGTAGCCGCGCTGCACGGGGTTCGAACCAGCGGGGTTTTAAAAATGGCGGCTCCCCGCTTATGCAAATGAAGCCCGGGAAATTCAAATCCCGGGCTTCATTTGCAAGTGTGGTATGCCTACATTACCCCGCTAGTTCGAACTAGGAGGGTAGTGTAGACATACCCAGAGACTTTATACCTCCCAGAGCTGATCAGAAAAAGAGTGTTTAACTTCTGGGCCAAATTCATTCCTTGTGTGACTCCAGTGAAATCAAGGGGAACTACACCATGGTGGATTGCTCCCTTTTGCCTTGAATCAGTATTCATAGGTGCTGTGCATTTGTTATTGCTTTCATTCAAAGCTTGTCGTATATGTATGTATTTCTGTACTCTGGGCTCAATGCATCTTTCTTGTTTATACGTTTTGGAAGTGATGCTACTTTGGTGCAATCCAGCACTTGTGAGAAACAGTTGTTACTGGCCCAGCGAAGAATACAGAAGAGAAAAGGCTAAAATGCAAAGAGGAGAAAGAGGGGCATGGTGATTAGATCTAGCATTCAGAGGAACGTAGGAAGTGCCATCCTGCCTTAGATAGACTATCTGTTCTTCTAGACCAGTGTCCTGAACCATGGGCTTCAGAACACAGTTCACTACAGAATTAAATATAATTTCTGTTTAAAGAAGAAAAAAGAACAATTGTCCCCCCCCCCCCACACACACTTTTTATTTGCTACTTTGAAACTACCTGAAATAGAACAACAATAACAACAAAAGGTCGCCAGCCCAGCAATCCAGAGAAGCCTGAATCCTTGTCTGGATCCCGTGCCTGGGTGGCTCTAGTGAACCACACAGTACACTAAAAACAGGTTGCTGCAACTGCAAGTCTGTTTGCGCTGAGGCTATCACATTGAAACTGAGCTCTTCCCAAGCTATTTCACTGTGAAGTTTGGGCCTGAAGCCCTTTCCGGATTGCCAAGTGCGCAGTCAGCAGTCAACACTCTCAAGATTAAACGTAGCTGTCCTAAGAGCTCTGATAATTCACGATAAGCCATACCAATGTGTAAGTGAAATACCTTCCGGGCAAGCCAGCTCCCTTGTGTTCTTTTTAAAGTTACAGTGGAGCAGAGCCTTTAAAGGGACACGCCTTTATCCTGGGGGGATGAGCAACAAGTTCCCTTCTAGTCTTTTGCACAGCTTCCAGCCCCAACACAGTTTACTTTCTCACCAGTTAGTGCTGGGCGTAGAAGGCAGGCAGCTTCCACCCTTCCTTAGCCCTGCCCTAAATAAAAAGAAAATCCTATACTTGCTAGTGCAGGTAGCAGCATGCACTGTGCATGGCTGCCTACTTTTGTTCTAGAAGTGATACATGTAAGGTAATTAGTAGTTAGCCAAATAGAAAACATGAGGTAATATTTTATAAGCTGTGAGTATATAAAAGACCATGATGAAGACTGAAAATAATCCAGGATGCAAGTTGCTAGGAGAAAACAGAGCTTCCCTCAGCTAGGAGTAAAACTGCCTCCATGCCAAACTACAGGAATTACATTCCCTCTTTCTCATCCCATGACAGAGTAGCAGCCCCACCACTATACTGTGGAAGAGTGATCTCCATGAGTGAACACCTATGATCTCCTCCCATGTAGTCACTGCCTCTGGAAACTGTTCCAGAGGGGTAACCGAGTTAGTATGTAACAGGACAAACTTAAACAATTAGTTTAGCAGCACTTTAAAGATTAACGAAACATGTAGATGGTATCGTGAGCTTTTGTGTGCACAACCCACTTCTTCAGATGACCAGAGTGTTGGAAGTCCAGATCCAAGAATAAATAAGGGAAGGAGAAAGGGGGAGAGGAGGAAAAAAATGTAAGGGGAGAAAGAAAAAAAGACAGTGAGTAGATAAACTTCAGAGGGATAGCCAAGTGAGTCTGTAACAGGAAAAACTTAAAAAACAAAAATTAGTCTAGTAGCATCTTAAAGGCTAAATAGATACAAGAGACTGATAAGAACCATTAGTTTGCACTTGGAAAGGAAGATGGCCAACACCAGATTCTACACAGACATCAAGAACAATTAGCACCTTAATTGTTTGGTTGGTTGATAATGTGCGAGCCATCCAATATCCCAATTCAAACTATTAGCTTAAGAATTAAACTAGTGAATGAAGCTCCAGTCCTTCTCTGTGTATTTGGCTTGTGGAATTGGTCTGAAACAAAACAGCGACTTGGAGATCCATTCATGAGTGTCCAGGAAGATTAAAGTGTTCTCCAACAGGTTTTTGTGTGTTGCCTTTTCAGCTGATATGTGTCCATTAATTCTTTCTCATAGAGACTGGCCAATTTGGCCGATATACATTGCAGTGGAGCATTGCTGGCATTTGATGGCATAGATAACATTAGTGTATGTGCAGTTAAATGAGCCTCTGATTCGGTTGGGTCCAGGCTGTTGTGGTTGGGTCCAGTGATGAAAACGCTTGTGTAGATATGTGGGCAGAGTTGGCACCGGGGCTGATTGCAGGGGTTGGTTCCTGGATGAATTTTCATCACTGGACCCAACCACATCAGCCACCAAATCAGAGTCTCATTTAACTGCACATACACTAATGTGATCTATGTACCAAATAATGCAAACAGTCAGCCACCAGAGGTGGTGCTGATAGCAAGACTCCATTGTACTGTGCTTTAGAAGCCAAAAACCAGGCTTTTGTGGGTTCACGGTGCATTCTGACTTTTAAGGGAATGATTTCACTCAGAGAAACTCAGACAAATGGAAACTCTATCTCCTGTAAGACTGACTGCTATACTGAAGTAAGTAGATCATAATGGACTACCTGTAATAATGATTAAGAGACAGTGAGTCCCCACCACCTCCTGCATGCATTCAGATAGAAGAGGTGTGCCAGGGAGGTGGTGCACTACCACACCAGAAGGCACAAGGCCAGAACAGAAAGAAAAGGAAAGAACATATGAACATAAGAATGGCTATACAGGCAGTCCCCGGGTTACATGGATCCGACTTACATCGGATCCCTACTTACAAACGGGGTGAGGCAACCCCGCACTAGCTGCTTCCCCCCAGCAGACCAGGGAGACACGGAGCGGCTTTTCTCAGCAGACACCTCAGCTTGAGAATAAAGGACTGAGGGAAGTGAGGTGTGGGAGAATAAAACTGAGGTCTAGAGAAATGTTTGGCTAGAGTTTCCCCTACAATATGTACCAGTTCCGACTTACATACAAATTCAACTGAAGAACAAACCTACAGTCCCTATCTTGTACGTAACCGGGGGACTGCCTGTACTGGGTCTGACCAAAGGTCCATCTAGCCCAGCGTCCTGTCTTCTGATAGTGGTCAATGCCAGGTGCCCCAGAGGGAAGGAACAGAACAGGTAACCATCAAGTGATCCCCCCAACCCCATGTCACCCATTCCCAGCTTTTGACAAACAGAGGGTATGGACACCATTCTTGCCTATCCTGGCTAATAGTCATTGATGGACCTATCCTCCATTAATGTTCCCTAGCTCTTTTTGAGCACTGTTATAATCTTGGACTTCTCAATATCCTGTGGCAAGGAGTTCCACAGGTTGACTGTGCCTTTTTAAGTACTTCCTTTTTTTGTTTTAAACCTGCTGCCTATTCATTGCATTTGGTGACCCCTAGTTCTTGTGTTATGAGGAGTAAATAACTCTTCTTTATTTAGTTTTTCCACACCCATAATTATTTTATAAGCATATACTGGACTGAACAGAGTTGCCACAGGCAATCATCCTCTTGTGGTGTGTACTGGACCCAATGGTGAGCAAAGGAAAGCCTTCCTGCTTTCAGTTATGCATCACAGATTCACCCAGAGGTAAGCATGCTCACAGTGTCCAGAGAAGATTCAACAAATCAAGGGAGTCACAAGTTACTTACCTGGTGACAACTGATTTCTTAGTAAATAACAATGTGTGCCTGCATCAGGGGGGATATGGATAGCCAATGCTCTTTACAAACAAAGGGATCATTGTGTCCTGGAACCTTCTACACAGACAATTCTCAGTTTAAGCAGATGATGCCGTTGAGGGCAGAGGAAGCAAAGGAAAGATTTGCCGTGAGTGACCTGGGATATCCCCTGCCATCCAGTCTAGGAATATATTTCCAGCTGTCCATCTTATTTGTGCTCACTGTGCTCCTCAAGACCCCCCAATCCCACCCCATGTCATCAGCTGTCCTCATATCTTCATCACTGCCACTTCTCTCATATTTGTGTTTGTCCATCCCCAAATAGTGATGGATTTGTTCCCTTCTTCACTTGCCCCATGCAGCCACTTGTGGCAGTACTTTTTGTGCCATCTCCTGTAGCGTCCCACTCATCTTTTTTCTGCTAATCCAACGCCCCATTGATCTCCAGCTCTTAAAGGCAATTCCTTTCACTGAGTTGGATGATATTATTTCCCATCCTTAATCAAAGCATGTGTTTGAGTGCAGCTTTGGGTGCCTGTGTATATCTGTGTATTTGGGAGAGTTGGTGCCCCTCTGACTAGAGATCATGAATGAGGTAATAAGAATTAGGGATCTCAATGTGTAGTTGAATACACAATTAACCAATAAACCTAGGCTTATTGGTTAATCTTATTGACTATATGCATTTCCCCCTTTGCTGTCTCTGATACGGGGCAGCAAGGGAGGGGTTGGGAGCTGGTGTCTGTGGAGCACCAGATCCAGCTTAGCTGCCTGCCTCCTCTCACCCCTGTGCTGCTGCCTCTAATAGTGAGGCAGCAGTGCGAAGAATGATGGGGACAGGTGGGAGCCGCTGCACA